AATTAAAATAATTTAAACCTTCTAATGATTTTGATTCTAAACCATTGCTATTATAGACATGATAATTTGGTTTAGAATAAAAACTATTTGTATTTGTTTTTGGTGTTGTATTTCCATTTTGTTGTTGCTGTTGTTGTTGTTGTTGTTGTGGTGGTGGTGGTGGTACTATTGTTGATATTTGTGTTCCATTGAGACTTGGTGTTGTTGATGTTAATGTTGGGATTATTTGGGATTTTTTAATTGGACTAGTTGTTTGCTGTGTTTGTTGCGAAAAAGATGTTTGAGTATTTGATGACGATGATGATGGTGTTGGTGATGCTGTCTGACTACGAAATAAATCTGCCCATGATATTGGTTTTGACTTTGGTAAATCATTTTGTTTAGTAGGTGAAGATAATGGTGATGAAAGATTATTTGATGGTTTTAATGTTTCAATTGATGCTCCACTTGCAACTGATGTTGAATAAATATTTAAATCATTTGTTAATTGATTTGGTGTACTTAATAAATGTTGACTGGAATTTTGATTTGATTTATTTTCTGATTGTTGATCGGATGGGATTATGTTAACGGGATAACTTGGACGAGTTGTTGATGTACTTTGAAGAAGATCATTATCATTATCTGTATCTGTTGTTGTTCCAGGCCCTTTAAAAGAAGAGAAAAAGCGATAGTATTTAAATAACATATTTTATAACGGTTATTAAAGTCGATATCATAATTTTATGGGTGAAAAAGTTAATTATCTATTTTGTATGTTTTACTTTAAATACTTTATAAGTGAAGAATAGGAATATATATCTTCGAGGGTTATTTTTGTTTTTTTTTTTAGTGATTCTAAGTCTATTTTATGTCACTTTTAACAATTAAATTAATATATGATTTATGTTCTTATTTAACGAAACGTATCACACGATGGAAACTACTTTTGAAGATGTTCGTTGAATAATCTTTCGAAGTCGTTTTTGTCAAAAACGTTGAAAATAAAATCTAATAAATGTAGAATTTCCAATTTTATTGACTGGACTGAGAATTTGCAATAAAAGAAAAACTGCTTAGAAGATATTTCATTACTACTTTCTTTTATTCATCTAAATCTTATAATATATCAATTTTATTAAGTAGCTATAACAATATAAACGTCACTGCTTTTACAGTGAAAACTATTAAAGTACAATAGGCGGATGAGCTATACGTAAAATGTCATTCTTCGAATTGTTCATTCAATATCAGCCCCCTTCTCCTCCCCTATAGCAGCGGGGAGGTCAAAGGTCAGAGGTCAATATGCTTTCTCTAGGAGATATGAGGTAAGACTGACTATCATTGAGTACATTTCTATAGCAACCGAAGATAAAGGACATCAGATTTGTTTCTTAGAACTTCTTCGCAAGGGAAAAAGATGCTGAACGATATTAACAACAAACCATAGACTGCTCTAGAATGTTCCAAAGTCTTGCTCGAAATTTCAATGCCTGGAATACATTTGTGAATATTTTAAATAATACAATTCTTGATTTTTGCGCAGATAAAATTTCATATTCAGTATGTCCAAAATGATGAGTAGTGATGTATTAATTGACCATAATCGTTATATGATGAACACAAAAAAAATGTGAACTCATCAAGTTATATTTTTGGGAAATAATTAATATTAGTATTTCTAAGCTTATCAAATTTTAGAATTGTATGTTGAGATCTGCTATAGATATGATGCATATATACAACAAGCTTTTTTGCCAGTTAAATCAATGATTAGAATAATATTAATAATAATGTTAAATTAAGAAAAATATAAAACAGCGAGCGAATAGTAACAAGGCAAACCAAAAAGAAAAAAATAGAACGCAAGTAAAAGGAAAAATTTCTCTTCAAAATACAGAAATAAGAGAGATCGTTTCCCTAGTGATCGATTATCCATTGAAAATCAACTATAGTCTGCTAGAAATTTTTCGCTTGATATCTTTTGTATTAGTATAATGAGGTTAACGAACACATGTGTGTTCCATATTTTAGCCTTATAGGAGTAGCGCTACAAGCTGTTTTAATTACAAAAAACTTCTGCTAGACTGTTTTTGCAGCTTATCTATCTGCGAGATGAATTGATCTCAAGAGTTTCATAATGTATCAAAGAGAAAAATGTTTATAGAAAAATACTAGAAGCTCTATGTGATTAAAATATTGGAAAAATGTAAGAAAAAATTATAACATATAGTTATTTTTTTTTTCATTGAAATCAAGGAGAAAAACTACTTATTAAGTTTTATGTAATTGTTTAAAATTAATTTTACCATCGGAATCCATATCATCGTCATCATTAGTTGATTGTTTTGATGATGATCGATCATCGTCATTAGTTGTCATTTGATGTTTCATAGTTGAATGAACCCATTGATCACATGAAATATATCTATTATCATTCGATGATAATAATAATAAATTAGAGTCGTTTGAATTTTGTTCTATTTGTGGTGTTTGTTCGTTTGAGCGCATTTGTATTGGTGTTGTTTCATCATTTTGTCCATTAAATTGTTGTTGATGAAGTGTAGATTGTTCAAGCATTTGTTGATATTCTTGTCGATAATAATTTGGTGGACGTTTTTTCTTTAATTTTCTATCACTATGATGATGATTACGTGATGATGATGATTGTTTTGTTACTTTTAAATTTTCAACAGATGAACTTTTAGATGAATATGGGGGAGATGTTAATGCAGAACTTGTTGATTCTTGATGAGATGAACTTCCATTACAAGAATTATATGTCGGATATGAAACAGCTGCAACATTTGATGGTGACATAACAGGTGGAACATCGAAACCAAATTCAATAGTTGTTGTCACACAATCATCAGTTGCCCATGGAAACTAATGTTCAAATTTTACAAAAAAAAAATATATCTATTCAATGATTATTTTCATTTATAAATATTGACAGTACCTCAGGTTCGTTTACCTTCACACATTGTTTATCATGACCGAAGAATTTTTCTGTTTCTTGTTCAGAAAAATCGCCAAAAACAAAATCCTATGAAAATAAGATTTTTGTTAGAAAAAAAAAAGAATAATAATTATATGTATATGTAAACAACTTACGGCCATTATGAAGAGTCAAATAATAAAAAGAAAGAAAAAACAAAATGAATTTAAATTAATATAGATTTTTATTAATTGTTTGAATATAATCGATTATTTTAACTACATAATGATTAAAATGCATGATAAATGTTCTTGTACTGCCTAGAAATCATCTACAAATAAGATTATTTCAGTTAACTGCGTAGTTTAATTTGATTTTGATAAAATATTAATGTTGTATCAGTGACACTACCACTATTTCGAAATGATTAATTCGTGATTAAACCTTGACTAATGATGTATATCGTCATAGGAAAAGTTGTTTTTTTTTTCGATATGAAGATTTCTTTTCTATTAGTTGTTTATTTGTTTCTATTGTTGTTGTCGAGGCTATCGAACGCTCGTTTGTTCGGACGATTAGCTAGGTATTTTATGTTAACCAATGAAAATTAGTCAAAGGAATAAACTGTTTCCCCTTTTCTGAAGTTCATAAAAATAAAAAAGAATTTTAAAAAAATTATTTTTTTTCTTATTTATAATTTAATTATCAATTTGTTTTTGATATTTTGAATGAAAAAAAGAAATCAACAAAATATTTTTTTAAAATTTTATTTAAATAAAATAATACATAAACAATGTTTATTTTGGAGGAATTTTTTATTTAATAATATTTTTTTTTGAGTGAAACAAGAGACATCTATTACCCGTAGTCGTATAATACGTAGAAGAAAAAATAACGTATGTTATCAAGTTCTAGTTGACTCATTCTTTGTTAACAGATTTTGACTGTTTTCTTTGAATGGATATGTATTTGATGCATGCTTTCGAAAACAATGACTTTTATAAGACAGTTTAGGTGTTCAAAAGTTCTGAATTGAGGTTGCGATTAAGTGAATTTCTTTCTATTATGCACAACTTTTCGTAACATACGTGATTCAGAGTGAAAACGGTTTGCTTGTGCTGCTATCTATAATTTTAACTGAAATGGGTCGTAGCAGAATGATAAGAATATGCCGATACCTCTTATAAATATATGATCATTATGTTTATTTTTCAGTTCTCGACTATAGTTTGACCTTCACCTATTAAATTAATGCATCAGTCGGAAGTAAAAACTTGCCATTATAATGCAGTCGAAATGTCTAATTCCAACACGTGTTACGAAATGTGATGTCGACTCTGTCTGCTTTCGACAATCTAAGGGTGACAAATGAAATTCGTTATCAAAATACTACGTTTCATACTTATCTATATCAATCAAATATGATAATTTCTCTCAACCTTATCTTCCAGCTCCTAGTTTCATGTAATCTATAATGTATTATATTGAGAAGAGAAAATGTACTTTTTATCATCAAGTTTACGAGTTGTGATACTTCATCATGAATTTTCTAAAGCATTTACAGCTTCACATGTATATCTGTGAATAAACGAATGCAATAATATATATTTGAAAATCGTGTTTAATTGAAGTCAATTCTTAAATGAGATCCTTCATGATTTCACGAGTTTGAATTAGAATTTTGCACTGAACTCAGACGGAGTCGGAGCGGAAGTAACTGTGAAGAATTTTTTCGGAATCAATATCACAGTTACATCATTAAAACGGTCAAGCATTTGTTCTCTTACATAGCAACCAGCTTATGTTTCATATGTTAAGTAATGAACAATAATAAGTTTCGAGAAAAAAACACAGAAGTTCTCATTAAGAATTAGCACAAGAAAAAGTATACAATGACTAGAAGAATTGATTGTACAAATCATTCCCGTTTCTACACTTGCAGTGGTTAGACGCGCTTGCTCTTACTGATTCTGCTTTCGTTCTTCTATTTCTTTCTTTTTATCGTTGCCTCACAAGAATCTAAGTCACTGACTTAGGATTCGGGTGATAAATGACTTCTTTAAGTCAGCAAATCCATAACTCAATGGAACAACAGCAATCTGCTTATGTACCTGAGGAAAACCCTCGTGTATATACAATGTTATCTAATGTGTCACCTACTACAAATAATGAGATACCTTATGAGCAGCAAATCGTCTATTACAATCCACCAGTGAATTATCAAACATTTAATAATGCACAATCATATCCTTATCCACAACAACTACCAAATGGTCAAATAGTCAATCAGTTCTCATCAAACAATCTAGCAGCCAAACAGCATCAACAACAACAACAACAACACACAGTGTCTTCGATAAACATGACTAATGCACAAATACAACAATCAATGATGCATTCCAACATGAATCAACAGCAAATAGCATTATCATACCAACCACCAGTTAATTTAATGGCACCTCCTCCTCATTCATCGATGATTAATCCAACAGGATCATCAACTCCAATATCAGCCACAACCAAGAGAGGTCGTAATGATACCAGTGGTGTCTCTGAATCTAATGTGCAACTACGACCTCAATACTCACAACCAACACGTATTTTTAACTCAAACAATACGCCTAACAAACGCTTGCGTGGAGCTAATCAACAAAGAAATCAAGTTCCCACCACAAATCAATTTGGTCAAAATATACCGATACATTTTCAACAAAATGTTGCGGAAACACGAGTACCAGGTGGTACAACTGGCAACGAACATGTAGTCTCTAATGCTGCGTGTCGATTTGCCGCATCTCGTTATCCATTTGCTCCGTTTTCGGTGATTTTTACGCAAGAAGTGCGTGAGAAGATAGTGGTTGAAGATCTAATCAAACATGCATCAGATAAATGGAATTTTGAACTAAAAACAATAGCATACCGGAAAGGAAGATCAGAAAACAATGAACATCGCATACTGATATTCGTAGAAAATAGTGAATCGTTCGTTTTTCTACACAATCATAGCAACTGGCCTGAAACATTAGCTGATTATCAATTCACAATAAAAAGTCCATCAATTCCTCCACAACTAGCGCTAGTTATTCCATCTGTTTCACTAGAGATCGACTGGGACGAGTTCGTACAAGAATTGAAAGAAAAGTATCCAGATATAGCAAATATTATCCGTTTAAAAAATAAAGCACAACAGCCGGTACGAGCAGTCAAATTGGAATTTACGTCGTCTAAACTACGTGATGAAATACTAACAGCAGGTGTAATCTCGATTTTGCATATGAAGCTGAAGGTAGTGGAATATTACGCGCAAGCAAATGTATTAATTTGCTCCAATTGCTATGGAATTGGACATTTCAGAAAAAATTGCGCACAGAAAAATGAATCAACATGCAAGACCTGTGGAGAGAAATGTGTTAACCTGAAAGATCATCAATGCTCGGGTGTGTTAAAATGTATACATTGTGGAGGAGCTCATGTGTCAAATGATACCAAATGCAAAGTAGTGAAAGATTATCGTGCTGTTCTTACTCGTAATCTGCTAGCAACTACAGCGTCCAAAAACTTTGAAGATGCTAGTGCTCGTCCCGTATGGTCAAACATTCAATCAGCTAGTACTGGAATTGCCCAAAAATCCTACGCCACGGTGGTTCAATCAATACCGTCAAATTTAAACGAGATACTACTTAAAAAAATGGATGCCATTGTAGCAAAAGTGGAGGAAGAATCTATTGCCACCCGTCGATCGCTAGAAGAGTTAAAGGATGAAATGAAAAGTCGATATGAAGAAACAAGACAACATGTGGATATGTTAGAAACAAAGGTGAAGAATATGGAAAAGAAATTCGAAGAATTCTCTATGCAAATATTTACAACGATGCAAAATATATGTACATCTCTCTTAGCACCACAAGGTGTACAAACCCCAAACTGGAAATCATATTGGCAAGAACAAATTAAATCATTGTCAGAATGCAGGTTGTCTCTCTCAAAAATTACATAATGAACAATTACATTTCAGACACCTATATCTTAGATAGAAAAGCAACTCGTTTTTTAGATAATGCTCATGCTTCGCTTACGAAAAATGATTTCCATCTTCTTTCAAAACTTCTAGTAGAATGGCATACTTCATCTTCATTGGACGATCTTCTCTCGAAATGGAAGCCATTCCATAAATCTGCTATACACCAGTCATACTCATTTATACATATACTCTGCTTCAATGTTCGTGGTTTAAATTCAAGATGGGGAGAGATCTGTTTATTATCAAAAACGCACCGTTTTGATATCATCGCACTTGGAGAAGTAGGGCACGTTGATTTTTCTTTAATGGGTTCAGCCTTCTCAAACTATAAACTCTTCTACCAATCTGGCGAAAATGCTTATGGTGGGGTCCTAGTTATGATACGAAACGGCATACCAGCTACGAGAGTCTCCTGCACATTACCGAATGTTTGCATAATAGAATTAGCATTAGAACAAACAATTCGACTGGCTACTATATACGCACCCGCAAGTAGGACATGGCAATGGAATGATTTGTCTCCGTTAGTCACTAGTCGCTGTATGTTTATGGGGGACTTCAACGTCGATTTAGAGCGCGATGGAGAAAAAGCCGATCTTCTTTTCAAATGGATGGATGCCTGTTCACTGGGTCCTGTTGTTCCGGATGCTAGTACCTCTCTTCGTTCGGAACGCACAATCGATTATGCGTTAACTGCTGGTGTGGATCTAACGGTTCAAACATATGAAGGCTACACTTCGAGTGATCACAAGCCGTTACTCGCAGTACTCTCGTGTGATATTATAGAGAACTTGGAAGGATCTCAAACGATTTGGTCGGTATTCTCACTAATGCTATCGTACACGGCTGATTTCTGGGAGAAAGAGTGGAGCAACGGAATCTTAGATATCACATATGCACGATTTATATCCTTTCTATCATTACTCGTCGCCAGGTGCAAACATTATTTTCCTCGTAAGTTTGCAAGACCGTCTATTCCACCTGAACTCGTGAAGCTGCTAGCTCAAAGTCGATCAGTATCGTTTAAGGCAAAACGGAAGGGAGATATTGGTTTACGTCAGGAAGCTCGTCGGTTACGTAATTTGGCTCGTTTCGAATTAAAACGTTTCCAAAGTGAGCAATTAGACAAACAATTAAAAGAAAGAAACGTACCGGCAGAAGGTTCTTCAATATTTTGGAGTAAGACAAAAAGACATTTTAGAACGGTTTCCTCCTCGTTGAGAGGATTTATTCTGCCGAACGGTGACACAATAAAAGATCCACAATTGATGGCAAATAGGGCGGCTGACTATTACGAAACACTCTTTGAAGAACCGGTGGTGATACGTCCGCATCCTTATGTGGATACTCCCGTAGTTCAATGGGATAATATGTTAGACAAAATACCATTAGTAACCTATCCAGAAATTTTATGTGTATTGCGAACACGAAAGAAGAAACAATCACTAGATATTCACGGCCTATCACCATACATACTAGACAAAATTCCTCGTAATTACTGGCATATGTTGGTGCGTTTATATAATGAATCATTTTCAAAGGGTTATATCCTGCAGAAATTTAAAGAAGTTAGAATGGTTTTATTGGCCAAGAAAAATGCTCTGTGTACTCCTGATCAGACAAGACCCATCTCGCTACTTGACTCGTTCTTAAAAGTTCAAGAAAGATTGTTCCTTAATCGTTTTCTACAGGTGTTGAAGGATAGAGGTATTCTTCCTGATAATCAATCCGGCTTCCGTGCCAATCATCGACTTCAAACTCGTGTACTACTCCTTATCGAACAAATTTCATCGTACATGTCCAACAGCTCGCCGGTCGCTACAGTGTTCGTAGATTTTAAATCTGCTTTTGATCAATTGTGGTTCGATGGTTGCCTCGGAAAGTTATCTAGAATGGGTATACCGCTAGCCTATACCGACTGGATTAGAGCGTGGTTAAATGATCGCCAAGCAATTATTGAAATACAAGGTAAAAGATCGAGGTGGTTTACTATAAATAGAGGTGGTCCCCAAGGTTCTAGTTTTACACCTACATTGTTCATCACATATCACAGTGATATGGCGGACTTTATTCCCGGAGCCATGTCTTTTTTCTTCGCAGATGATCTCGCGGCAGTACTCGCAGGACGAATAGGTGTTAAATTTACAGAGCAGTGTATAGATCTTGAACGCCGACTTCAAACGTTCTTAGAACAACTCGAATTCTACTCGATTCTAGCTGTACAACCAATTAATTATATAAAAACGCAAGTAATGTTCTCTGCTAGAGCCGTCCGCTACCCAGATCCAATGCCACACCTGCGCTGCGGCGATCAGACAATAGAGTGGGTTTCTTCGTTTAAATACTTGGGATATTGGTTGACAACGAAGCTGGGTTGGGGAAATATTATTAACAAAACTCGTATAACAACTCGCCAACGAACAGCTCTGGTCAACTCGTTCACATATAGCGGTACCTCTTCTACAAAGTTACGACGTGTCCTTTTTTCTACCTTTGTACTACCTCATTTCACGTGGCTTTTCGGACTGTTTCCCCTGTTTACCCACTCTCAACGAACGGAACTTAACCACTTATACTTCACGCTGTTGAAAAGATTATATCGTTGTCAATGCTGGGAAGATTTCGTCTTCTCGTTAATTTATAATGAACGACCGCTGGATGACTTGTGCTATTCTTATTGGGAGAAATACTCAAAGGCATTGGCTAGATCCAAGGACGGTTTTCTATTATTGGAACAATCGTCGTTGAATGCACACAGATCAATATGGCAAGAAGGAAGAGATCGTATACATTGTCTACGCAGGTCAAGAAGATTTGTATTGCACATGGACATACTGGGAAAGGCGCTTAAATGGATGATATCGCATGGTACTTCGGATTCGGTTGTTGCGTACGACGAGGAAGAACTCTCATGTTTCGCACAATTCCCCGAAAGTTTCTAATTAATCAATTAGTAACGCGTCGAATAGTTAGAGGTCAAGCTGACAAAAAAAGATGAGAGAGAAAGAGAAGAAGAAAAAAAAAAAAAAAAAAAAAAAAAGAACGAAAGAATGATAACAAAAGGATATAATAAATATATACACTATATACTCTTCTCGATATTTAAGTTCTCAACATCAGCTGTCTTATATTATCGCGATGCCTTCGTATATCTACCCGAATATCAATGTACTTTGCTTCATTAATGTGCTTAATATTCTCGTTGCTTCTGTCATTGTAGAGATGTGCTCTAGTGTTAGTGTGGAGTAGTTATTTTCTCCCCAGCTTATTTAATCCAATACTCCATCATACACTATTCTGCTGTTATCTCTTTGAATTCTTGTGTTTTCTTCTTTCATTTTATCTCTTTTACAACTTATTTTATTTTATTTTATTTTATTTTATTTTATTTTTTTTTCATCTCTCGTTGCTAGCTCAATTGTCCTTCTAGGACCGACATGGTCAGAGGGTCTTCATCTTGCTAATAAAAAAAAAAAAAAAAAGAATTGATTGTACAAATTGAATTTCGATTTATTCCGTACTAGTAACTCGCACAACAAATCTGAATAATGACGACTTGAGCAGAGAAAATTGTTTCCAGCAAGGACTTGAAGGAAATAAAATCTTCACAGTATTCATAAAATCTAGGATTTCTATAAAATCTAAAATCTAGCTTTTCATCACCAAGAACCCAACAGAAGTTTCTTTTGATTATATAGAGCAACTGCTTCTTTACAAAATCGCACGCCTTCAAGCTCCTCACGACATTTTTTGAGGAAGCCTACAGCAATATTAAGAAACACTCAAAAATAGTTTTCTCGCGTTACCTAAGAAAAAACAGGGTGAAAAGGACCTTTGGACGTTTCGTAAAATATATATAGGCCAGTTGAAAAATGTCATGGAAAGTTTGGAGATGCGTCAT